TCTGTCCCGGCTCCAGACTGATGTCCTCAGAGCCTTGGCCTCACGTCAAGCAACCCCCCGTCTCTGGTGTCTCTGGTATGAGGTTGTCCTCAGGCCCAGGGCGGATCAGCTGCAACGTTCCCAACTTTGGGGGCGAGCGAGTGGCCAGGAAGCCGGGCTTCGCGAGGCGGCGCCCTAACACCTCGATGCCAAGCAGGGTCAGCTGGGCAGGGGGGCGGCCGGAGGAGGAGAAACAACGGAGCATCTGTGGTCAGGGGGCACACCTCTCCCGATCCTTTACTGATGGCAGCATGCAGTGCGTGTGACGTGACATGGCATGTTCACGGCATTTCCGACGGAGCCGTCAACCGACACCGGGAAATACGGGACCTGACACCCCTGCGGGGGACTGTGTGTCCAGACTGCAGGCTGGACAGCAGCAGAAGCACCGCTCAGGAGGGACACGCGGTGACGTGGCGGGCGTGGTGCCCACGTAAAGAAATGCATGTGCACTGACAATCGTGAACTCCACTGGGAAAGAAACAAAAATGGAGAAAATGCTGAAGAAACAAGCCACACAAGGCGCCCGTCCCCACAGACTGCGGCAGCGTGCCCATCTGCGTGGGGGGCGGGGCCGCGAGCCGCACAAAGGCTCCGGCTCAGGCTCCCATTCCCGCAGGCTGGTCTGCCGCCTCTGGTCCCCCCTCCCCCGCAGCAGGTAGGGCGCGCAATCCTGGGGTGGGGGGGGCAAGGGCACGGGCCAGGGGCCCCCAGCAGATGGTCAGCAAGCAGGGGGGCCTCCCCAAGGGAGGAGAAAGGAGCCACTCGGGCTTCTGCAGCCTCCTCTGCAGCCCAAGGCTCTGGGGCAGGCCTGTTAACTAGGGACCTGTTTTCTGTGTGTGGGAGAGGCCAGGACACAGCGGCCTGCTGCCAGCGGGGGTGGGGGGGGAAGGCTAGGGACGAGGGCGGGACTCCAAGACGCTTTCCTGGGATGCACCAATCCCGCAGTAGAAAGTTGATTTGTTAGACTATGAAACTGACCATTTACTACTCAGTGATCCAAACAGCGAGAATAAACCAAGACACACCCTCAAGCCCTCCCAAACCAGGCCTGGCCCGGACTTGGCACCAAGGAGCAGGGCACAGGGACCTCCCGGGGGACAGGAGGAATGACCAGAGCGGCTGTGCGCCAGCTCAGGGAGCAGTGCCTCCACCGAGGGAGCCTCCATTCTCGAGGCGCTTGGACTCCAGGCTAGATCCCCGTTCCCTGAACGCTCAGACAGAAGGAAAAGGCCCAACGAGCCAGGCGGGGTCCCCAGTGAATGATTCTCCCAGCCAGGCGGTCGGAGGTCGGCCGTCACCAAGGCAGGAAGAAAACATCCGCCACCCAAGAGCGAACCCAAGTGACGGGCCCGTGGGGCCTTCATGCCGATGCCCCAGCTCTTCTAGTCTCTGGCAATCAGCGACCGCTGCCATTCCCACAGTTCTCACTGACAGAGTTAGGAGCTGTTATAACTTCCCTACCTTCACCTTCTGAAACGTCAAGATCAAACAGCTAATTTAGCCAAAAGTCAAGTCTCTGACACGAACCGAGGTCAATGCCTAATTAATGTGGCTCAGAGAAGTGCAAGGAACAGCATTTTCACAGCTGGTGAAGCAAGGCCGGGAAGTCACCCAAGCGGCCAGATTGGGAAAAGTACCAAACACCAAGTGGAGGTATCACACAGAAAGCCCCGCAGGAAGAGGGGCGCCTGGGGGCTCAGTCAGTCGAGCGTCTGACTTCGGCTCAGGTCGTGATCTCGTGGTTCGTGGGCTCAAGCCCCACGTCGTGCTCTGTGCTGACAGCTCAGAGCCTGGAGCTGCTGCAGTTTGTGTGTCTCCCTCTCTCTCTGACCCTCCCCTGCTCATGCTCAGTCTCTGTCTCAAAATAAATCATATAAAAAAGAAACCCTCTAGAAAGGGTAACAAGTCCCTCCAACCAGTTACTGAAGTGCTGACGGCACTACCGGGAAGCCACGGCAGACACGATCAAACCAATTATAAATTACTGTTGGATTCTCTGAAAATAAAAATACTTAGACCAATTATGTCGTGCTTCAGAGAAACAGAGAAGAGCCCGGTCTGAAGGGGGCAGTGATGGCGGGCAGGCGACCGCACAGCAGGTCTTTAACCTTTAGGAAAAAGAGCAGTGACAGCTGGGAGCCAGGGCTCCGTGAGGAACAGACGGCGCAGAGGCGCGCGCAGTGCAAGGGCCGCGTCAGCAAATCCACAGCGGACTCTACAAGCTAAAATCTGCCCTTGAAAGGCCGTCAGAAGAAGGGAAGACAAACGCCCTTTGTGGAAGTGCCAGCGTGGGCCGCAGTGAGTTACAGAGTTTCTCAACTCACACCCGGATCTTCTGGAGCCTGTAGGGACAGGAACGGGCGGCAAACCTCTGAGGGAACCCCCAAGGGAAGAGCAAACCCGGGCAGTCGGACGCCCGCTCCAGCCTGCGCCTGGGGTACAGCTGACGACGCCCACGTCTAAGGACTGGAAGGATCTCTGTCGGCAAAGGCACGACGCACACAGACAAGGAAGGGCACGAGCCCGCGGCGCCAGCCGTGCGTGCCACACACATGCTCCGCGAACAGAACAGACCCACGGTGACCGGCCCCGCCACGCCGGCTACCGGCTCTTCTGGCTAGTTGTTTGGAGGGAGAGGCACTGCAGGCGCTGGGAAGCAGCGAACGCTGGGAAGCCGCTTAGCGGCACGGCGGCCCCAGGCCAAGTGCAACGACTTTAAATACCTTGGCAATAGGCGCCTGGCGGATCAGTCAGTTGGGCTCAGTTGAGCGTCCGACTTTGGCTCAGGGCATGATCTTGCGGTCCGTGGGTTCGAGCCCTGCACGGGGCTCTGTGCTGACAGCTATGAGCTGCTTTGGCTTCTGTGTCTCCCTCTCTCTCTGCCCCTCCCCCACTCACACGGACTCAAAAAACTGAAGGAAAAGCCATCAGCAGCAAGGACGCTCCTCCCCACTCCCATCAGCCCCACAAGAGAAGGCGGCGATGCCCCCACAGGCCAGTGGGACACTTGACCACCTGGCGGGGTGCTCACGCTCGCCGCAAAGAAATCTCAGCAGAAAGACTCGAGGTCAGACACCTTCCGCCCGTGCCATTCGAGGAGAGGAAACCGTTTGTGGCGGGAAGTGCACTCAACAGCATCTGCGCCCAGAAGTTCAAGAACATGGAGACCACAGTTCTAGCGCAACGCGTCCCAGCTCTACCTAGTCCCGGTCGGCACCTGGTGTCCCCAAGGGACCACCAACCACCCCGTCAAGAGGCCCACCCCGCCCACCGTTACTGACAACCCGCAGGACCCATGTCTGTTCAGTCCCGGCATCCACCACGGCCCCAGGAGCAGGGAAGCATCTAGTAGCAGCATGAGCCCAGCAGCATTCCAGCATCAGACATGCAGCCTGTGAACTGCACCGCGCGAGGCCCTTCCAGGCGGCCTCCCGCGCCGCTGGCGATGGCCCCGGGGGGGGGGGGGGGAGGTGCATGCCAGCACAGCTCCCGCTTTCCCTGGCTCAGCGGTCTTCTCGCACTGGCAAGGGAGTTTTGCAGTGGTTTCTTTTTATTAAATACTTTCTCTGAGATTTTCTAAAAATAATTCCTTGTTTCCAATAAAAACACATTTGATTCTGTGAAGACCGTATGGTACGTGGGCAGCTCCTCGATGCCTTCCAACTAGGCCTGCACGGGCGCCACCGTGTCCATTGGGGAGGACCCACCCCCACCCTCCCGTCCCTCGGGCAGGACCCACTACAACTCTGAAACGAAGCCGAGCGGGGCCGTTCACAAGCGACCCGAGTCTAATTCAACACTCCTCTGGCTGGAATTCTAGTTCTCAGCAGTGACTGTGACAGGTTTTACACACTGAAAACCAAACAGAGACCTTTATATTTGTCCACATCTATGTCACCGCAAGACTTCGCCGTGAGTACGGCATCTCTAAATGAGCCGGCGTCAAACGTACCTTAGAAAACTAGAAGCTACTGGGAAAGAGAAGTTGCCTAGCTGTTTCTTCCCTGTAACACTGTTACCACGTGGGAAGCCTCAGTCATTGCTGACCATTACAGAAGCTAAATAGGAAGGTGTTCACACACTCTCCAAATTTGCTGCGGAAAAGGAATATGTGGAACTTACGGTCAGCATCCACCTTCGCGAACAGAAAGAAACGGAAATGAAGCGGAACTAGAAGCCCAGGCACAAAATCATACACAGACACAAGAAGACTACAAGCCCCACTCAGGAAAGAATGCACCAAACACATTCGCATTTATTATTTTTTTTTTAAGCAAATGACAAAGACCCAGTTACCAGCTTTACTTTTTTAAACCTAAGCTTAACATTACATATTTAAACAATTGTCAAAACTTACTAAGTTGCCAGCATTCATGCACTAGAAAAACATCCTCAATTTATATTAAACGAGAAATGTATTACCATTAATGCATTAATATCTCTCACTACTAATTACTGAAAAAAATTGAAATTATTTTTGTGTAAGATTCATCCTGGCAATGTTAACTTCACAGCAGGCTGACACTACTTGGCTCACGTTTCAAACACAATGGAAAAGCAGGTCCGTGCTGGTGTTAGTGTATGAAAGAGTCACGGCCACCTTAGATTACATTTAATAAAAAAGCAAAGTGCATACAGAGATTTACAACAATTTTAAAGACCCCCCCCCAAAAAAAAGCCAAAACAAAAAAACAAAACAAAACCCCCAATGGTCCTATTATGTGGTCCCAACAATGAACTCAAAGTCTATGACAAACAGGGCTCCGATGAGCTGTGTATAAATACTTTAGATTAGGTACAGTTATACTGAAAGTTGAGTTCGTGTGAAATCTTCAAAAACAATGTTCCTGTTACTCCTCACGGCGCCCGTGACAGGTGTTACAGCTACGTGTCTGTTACTCTGTTACGCGCGAGCGTCGGGGGTTACTTGTTATCCAAGCGCAGCAGCTGCTCCTTACCATTTATCGTCAGGGACTTCAACTGGCCGTTCTCCTCCACCTCCACCCTCTCTTCGCCGTTCTCCACAATTCTGAAAGACAAAGCGCACTTAGAACCTTTTTTTCACGTAAACACATGTGAACAGATCTGCGAATTTTGAAAACACATCACTTGCGCTGACAGACGTGAACACGCTCACACTGAGGGTTAAAACGCAGCTGAAGGCAACCTACTGACAACATTTCTTCCTGGAAACACGCTCAGGCTGCAAGGGGAAGGCCGGGCTCCATATCACACAGCCCAACACGAAGCACGTGCGCAGAGACTGTGCTCACCACGGCAAGCGCTTGCTCGTTTTCGGTTCATGCTTCTAGCAGCGCCAGCGCCACTCACCGCACATTCATCACTGTTACTACACACTTTAAATGTGGCTCTAAACATTATTTCTAATGTATATTATTCAGGAAAAGTTTAAAAGAAAAAGCTCCAATTTGGATGCTTAAAAGATCCCAATGGTGCCAAATCTAACCTACAACCTGTCCGTCACAATACTGGGGGAGGGGGTGTAAAAAGGAGACGGGCACCCATGAAATGTCGCAGTTCTAAAAAAAAAAAAAAAAGAGAGAGAGAAGCACTGTACCTCTTTGTAGTGATTTTTCTGCCATTAACCATTTTTGTGGACGTCGATATGGACTTGAAGCTGCCCATCCCGCTACTGCCAAACGACGTGGAGGAGAAGGCGGTGAGGCCCCCGTGCCCCGCCGGCCCGAAGGGAGTAAATCCTGCAGGAGAACAGGACAGGTTCAGTACGAATGTCGTGCCAGACCGAGGTGAGCGCACCTAAGCAGGGTGCCCGCAGACCCGGGGGGGGGGGGGAGACACACCCCAGATCCTGGGGTGGCTCCCCTTCTGGAGTCGTACCTATGCCCCCATGCTCTACATGGCGCTCTACGGGGCGCACCGGCATCCCGCCCTGGTCAGAGGCGCCCAGCTCGGGCCCACACAGGGGACGGGGACCAGTGTGCTGCAGGGACACTGCAGCTTCACCAGCAGGGGGACCCCCCAACCTGCTCACCTTCTTGCGATGGGACCCCGGGAGGTGAGACTGACTTACTAAAAAGCTCAAATACTTTTAGAAAGAACGCCGCAGACAGTTATCCGACCATGCAGGGCCCACACAGCTCCGGGACAGCGCCCCCACCCCCCGTCATGGCCGCCCACTGCAGACGGGGAAGCCCCGGACTTCCACAGGTGGCACTGAGCAAACCAACCTTTTGCCCTGGGACTGGTCTGCTTGATTCAGGGGCTGACTACCTGTCCGCTCGTCAACATTCATGTGAGAGCGGTGCACAGGCTCCGGGCAGGTCCGCACCCCCCGCGCCCCTCACACATTAGCCACACGTCTCTCACATCAAGGACTATTTTGATGATATTCTCAAGCAACTGTCTTGGGCCCTCCCGTGAACGTGAGCAGAGAGCCGTCAGCGCACTGCACAGTCCTGTGCCGGGCGGGCCTGCGGGGAGAGGCCGCCTACAGCCACCCTGCGCGATGCCCCGTCACCTCCGTGGCTCCTGCGACACCAGCACAGGACTTGAAGGGAAGAACCTCGGAGCTGTATCTGCAGGGCAGCCTCCACAGTAAGTGTGGCCAATGCTTACCATGTGCATTGAAATAAAAACCAGAGGATCAAAAAAACAAGAGCCCCTATGTTAAGAGAACTATAGGAAGTTAAAAAACAAAAAAATCCTAATTCTTCAGGTAAATATATAATTGTACCATGCCACGTGCATATTACTCAGATTGATTAATTTATTTAAGATTTTATGTTTCTAAGAAACCTCTACACCCAACACAGGGCTGGAACTCACAGCCTGAGATCAAGAATCGCACACTCTTCCGACTGAACCAGCTAGGCGCCCTGATGAGCAGCCAGTGCATGTGGCGGAGCCATCTCACACGACCGCAGCCCCTGGCGGGCTCCACTGAGCCTTGGTCACTTGCAGATTCGGGGGGGGGAGGGGGCAGGGGTGTTGCTGTGCTAAAGTCCCCCCCCTTCTGATCCCAGCAACCTGAACTCTTCTAGAATCACACCTGTTGTGTTTACATCTGTCAAGGAGGTTAGACCAAAAAAAAAAAAAAAAAAAAGGGATTAGAGACTTTGTCTTAGTGGGGTCTTTTCACATTTACCCAAAATCAACTAACTCCTTTTAACCAGAAATTTCATTAAATAGTGACCTTTAGAGATGCCTGGGTGGCTCAGTTGGTTAAGTATCCAACTCTTGATCTTGGCTCAGGTCATGATCTCATGGTTTGTGGGTTCGAGCCCCAAAGCAGGCTCTGCACTGACATGTGGACTTGATTCTTTCTCCCTCTGTCTCTGCTCCTACCTCTCTCAAAATAAACAGACATGAAAAAAAAATAAATAGATATTGACCTGTAATAGTAAGATTAGAAATGGATTTTTCAGGGGCACCTGGGTGGCTCAGTCAGCTGCGCGACCAACTTCAGCCCAGGTCGTGACCGGGTGCACCTGTGCCAGCCTGCGGCGGGTCCTCTGATCCCTCTCTCTGCCCCTCCCCCACTCATGCTTGTGCTCTCTCGCACGCTCTCTCAAAACTAAATACAATACTAAAGAGAACTGCCCTGACTGAAACTGCGTCAGCACTAGTGTCTGCTCAGAAATCAGCAATCAGATCTAAACTTTCCTACCTGTATCCAAAGACGAAAACCCTCCTCCAAAAGACGGAAATCCACCAAAGGCAGAGAAGAACGACCCCGCACCTCGGTTCCTGCTTCCACGGGGGCCTCGTCGACTCCCAAAAAAGTCCTCAAATGGGTCTTCTGAAAACAAACACATTCACGTTTACTCTTTTCATGGGAGAGCTGCAATGAGGCAAAATGGTTTGATGCCTCAAAATACATTACTGCCCCTGGAAGAAAAATCTCAGCAAGAAGTTTAACATAGCTTATCTACAGAGCAACCAAATTCACCAAATAACCAGCAGCTTTCCGGACTCCCTCAACCCCACCAAATAGAACCCACCAGGGACAACAAACTAGACGCCAACACAACCACTGTGTGGACAAACACAAAATTCGGGCTCACGAATGTGAGCCTCACACTCCGCCAGGAGAGGTTCTAGCGGCCTCTGAGAGGTGGCAGTGAGACCCCTCCTAGGCAGCTGCGCCCCACACAACCCGGGCGGCCTTCCCCAACGGAGTCAGAAAGAAAAAGAAAAATCGACTACTCTCACATTTATAGAACACCCAGAGGCTGTCATGTCAAGTGAGGCAAAATTAACAGCTCCTGATTCTGGGCCACAGTGTTTAAGAATTCCATTTACCCTCCTTGTAAGCCTAATGTCTCAAAAAAATTTAAGAAAGGATTACTCAAATCTGAATAAGTGTTAATTGGCAGACATTAACAATGTACTTTAAGAGAAAATCACTAGTGCAAATCAGAACCGATTGCTATTAGAGATACCACAGAGCTCCTGGAAGATAAGAGCAGTCATTTATTATTGGTTCAGTCAATGAGCACTTATTAAAACCATAGGAATACAAACTTTTAACTGTCTCTCCGCTGCTTGTGCTCTCTCAGAAGTGAAGGAAGAAAGGGAGGGAGAGAAGGGGAGGAGAAAAGAAGACAGACAGACAGACAGACAGACAGAGAGAGAGAGAAGCAAGCAAAGCAAGGCCTGCCAGAAGAGGAAAAGCAGGGCACCGCACCACCACCACCACCTAATAAGTATGGCGTAGCCGGCACCTGGGGGCTCAGGTCACGATCTCATGGTTCGAGTCCCACATCCAGCTCTGTGCTCAGCTCGAGTCCCTCTTTACCGTAATCCAGCAGCCCACACACCCACGGTGCCAGGTTTCCTGTCCGAGGTCCCTGGGGTCAACCCCCCACGCAGAGAAACAGAAACATTCCGAACGCAGCTTAAACTCACTGTGCAGAAACCCTCCCTCGCCCCTAAGAAGTAACCGGTGAAAAGGATTCACAGGATCCGCATCAGACAGTCACGCCACCGCATGAGTCCGTAACCCACACTGTCCTCCTGAACGCCAACATTTCCTCTGCCCCAAACCCTGAGCTGTCTTGGGCCCCGCTCGGCCTCCGGAGGCGCACAGGGGTTCGACACTCCCGCGCTGAGCCACGTGAGCAGTGCGTTAGAAAATCCCCGTCTTTAGAAGCTCCTTCAAAAGCTGGTTTGGGAGTATGAGTAATGCCAGCGGCTTTTCAGTTTACTCTTTCTTGGGTTTTTAAAAAATCTTTTATCTTGCTCAGCCTAAATGCTTTTCTGTAACTCAGGAAGTCATTTTAGTCACTGAACTTTAATTTCAAATATTAAATTTAATGAAAGTTTAACCCTCAAAATGAAAAGCCTGTTACAACAATCATGCGGACATTAGAAAACACATTCTTTCCGGTTTCTTCTTAATATCATGCTTATGGAACAAATACTGTATTTATAGTCTGAAAATATACTGTAACACGGAAACCGAACATAAGCCAACGCGTTACCGGCCGGCTGTGCCTTCGGCATGAGGGGCTCATGGGGGACCCCCAGCTCCAGGCTAAGGAGCACGGCGCGAGCAGCGGGGGAAGGGGGCAGTGGCCCCTCAACACGAACGCGGGGGGGCGCCGCCGAGTGCTCACAAAGCGCGGCCCGAGCACAACTTCAGGGTCTGGAGCACTGTGCTACTAGGCGCCCCAGACGACAGGAAGCCTCCCTGATGACAGGGAGGACTCATTTTTCTACGCGGTACATAGTCTACTCTGCACTCTCTCCGTGAAGCAAGAGAAAGCCAGATGTCGAGAATCATAAAGAGGAAATACACTTTCAATACTGTCATTTATGAAATGGTCTTCCTCCTCCTCACTGTCAAGGACATCTGCACACGTGTGTTCTTGCACAAGCCAACACCTTTCCTCCCTTGCCTCTCACGCACCGTCCCCACGCCGGGGAAGATGTGCACTCTCCTCACATTTTAGGGTCGCATCCCCCTCGCAGGGGAGGGTCAGTGCATCTCCAGGGACGCAGAGGACAGCTAGGACCGTATCGGGCAAAATTATGACTGTACTGTGTGGTCTCTGTTTGGAGACAAAGCCGTGACTCACTAAGAGGAGTACAGGTCTCCAGAGACGGAGGGGGGTGTGGGGGGGTTAACTTCACAGGAGACGTGAAGGGGCCACGGGGTGCTCCGGACTTTGGTCACATATTATTCTGGATGTGTCTCTAAGGGTGTTTCTGGATTGAGATGAACACTTTGGTCAGTAGCCTGAGCGAAATATACTGGCCTCCTGGTGTGTGGGGGCCTCAACGCCACATCCCCCCACGTGAGAGAACTCTCCAGCCTGCTGGGGTTCCGGCCAACACAGGCTCTCGGGGCCTCATGGCCTCCAGACTCTGCCGGCAGCCCAGCCACCTTGGGGCCCCCGGCCTCCAAAACCAAGCGAGGCAACGCCTGACACTGCAAGTCAGTCCCTCGGACGGGTCAACAGTCAGAAATAGAAGCATGTGTCAACAGGGGCCCGGCCGGCTCTCTGGAGAAACTGCATGCAGATTTTCAGAAAAGAAAACCTGTATCTTGATCATTCTACACTATCTTCAGGCAGAGGAGACCCAAATTCCACAAGAAGCAGGTGCGGGTGTGCGGTGTGACCCCCAGCGTGCCAGGGCACTAGGCGCCTGGGCCCTGGGTGTGCATCAAACACACCTTCTCAACCTCCCAACACCTCACTAGTCCCTCAGAAATTCAAAACCAAATCCAAGAAGAGGTCAGTGTATCAGCAAGATACTCATCAAGGACAAAGTCCCAAGGTCAAACTTAGGACAAAAAGTATATTTAAGTGAACTATGTGGAAAAACTTAGCACAACACACATATAAACAAACATTCACATGCATGAACACGTGACAAATGTTTACATCCACACATGAACACCTAACAAACGTGTGCGTGCCTGCGCACAGAAATAAAGCTTTACACGTATGTACACATCAGTACGCGACAAATGTGAGCGTGCACACAGGAACTCGTGACAAGTGCTTACACGACGCACACAGGAACACTTACAGGTGTGCGTGCGTAACACACGTAAACACGTGAAAAATACCAACATGCGTGCTGCACACAGACACCGAGGAGACGTTCCCACGCACAGATACCTAGAGAAAGCCTTCAGGAAACCAGCGTGACAGAGGTTTAAGGCCACACATTCCCATCCAAGATTTGCCAAGACGCAGTAGCTGACAGCTGAGCACGAAACCAGATTGGAGAGACTGACACGCCATCTCGCCCACCAGGGCCTGCGCAGGAACAAACCTAGTGCGGCGTGGCCGCCACTGCTCTCCCCCCCCAGCACGGAGGCCCGACCGGGAAGAGGCCCGGCTGCCCCTCTCCACACGGCCTCACACTGACTCCCCAGGCACCCAGAAAAACTGGGGGGGGAAGAATAAAACCTAAAAAGCATAACGGGCATTTCAAACAAGGAAAACCATCTACTTGGGGTGCCCGGGGCGGGCACAGCTGGTCAAGCATCTGACTCGATCTCAGCTCAGGTCACGATCTCAGTTTGTGAGTTCAAGCCCTGCACCGGGCTCTGCACTGGTGACGTGGAGCCTGCTTGGGATTCTTACTCTCCTTCTGTCTGCCCCTCCCCTGCTTGTATGTATGCGCGGATACGATGCTCGCTCTCACCCTCCCACTCTCTCTCAAAAGAAAGAAATAGAGTTAAAAAATTTTTTTAGAAGAAATAAATCTATCTAGAGGTGCCTGGGTGGCTCAGTCAGTAAAGCATCTGACTCTTGATTTTGGTTCAGGTCATGATCTCACGATTCATGGGCTCTGGGATGACTGTGTGGAGCCTGCTTGGGATTCTGTGTCCCTCTCTCTCTATCCCTCCTTTGATTACTCTCTCTGAAAAATAAAATTTAAAAAAGAAAAACAAACCATCTACTCTAAACTATAGCTGCAAAGCAGCCCTTGGCGCCCTAAGTCCAAGTGACCCACACAGGGACTTGCAAGGGGCCGCCCAGCCAATCCCAACACCACGAGGTAATTAAAACACTCCTTTACTGCAACTAAAACTCGTAAAGGTGGTTTCTTACAGATTCTGAAGCACAAAGCAATATATTTCTAAGGAACTTGACACGAAGCGAAACGGGAGCGAGCAGGCCCCCCACGGCAGCCCTGCGCTGCGCCGGGCCCTGGGGGAACGGCTGCGGGCGGCTCCCTGCTGCTCGCTCCGTAGTGGAGCGGTGCCCGGCACTGCGTGGGTGGCGTGTCCTCACCGTACGAACAAACACCATACTTTCCCACTTTCCATACAATTACTTTGTTACAAAACAGAACTTCTAGTTAACACGCCAGCTGTGGCTGCAGCACTGTATCTTCTAAGAGCTGCAGTGATCTACCCACGTCAGGGCTCCAAAACACACACCCCGGCCCGGACCGTCTCATCTTAGAACTCAGCACAGAGGCCCGGTGCGCCCCGAGAACATGGAAGGTCCGAGGACAGCAGTGTGCCCGGTCCCACGGGGTCCTTTCTGTCCCCTCCTATAGGAATGCCATTCTTCTCCCCCCGGCCGTCAGTCCCTCCGCTGCCATCTTCCATCTGCAGAGGCTGTGCCTGTCCCCCTCCCCAGGCACATGAGGAAGTGGACGATGGGGACGACAGACCTCGCCCTCCGCCCCCTTCCCGGCCCTGTGGGTCCAGAGCCTCTTCTCCAGCTTCCGAGGAACCAAGTGGTTCCCTCGACCAGACACCAAAATTCCACGCAGAACACATGGTAAGCGAATCCTCCAAGGGACTGTGGAGACTGACCTGAGTGAGTC